TTCATGAAATATGAACAAATAAATTATAAAATAAATACTTAAACATTAAAAAAAAAGAGCCTGCTGTTTACGTTTGGGCCAGCTGGAAAAATACGGCCCGATCTTTTTTTTCTCATGCAAATAATGTTTAATTATTTATTTTACAGACAACTAGGAATTTTTTCTGACATAATATAAATACAGATGAATTTTTTCTTCATTTTTGCTAAAAAAATTATACATCTGTTTAATACAGTAATAATTCACCGGCTTACGTCGAAATAAGATTTAAAAATTCAAACAATATACTAATTTAACTAAAACAAAATTAAAAATACGTATTTATACTTACCAATTTCGAGTGCCGACTGTGAGTAATGTTTTTTTTGTTGAACCTTTGATAATTTTGTGATATTTGTTCAAGCAGATGGAAGAGAAAATTTCTTTTTAACTGTATTGGAGAAACTGATAAATAAAATTGATTTTGAAATTTACTTGGGGAATTGATTGAATTTATTTACATTTTTAAGAGTATTATTGTTAACATGTTTTTGTAATTATGGAACATGATAAGGGCACAACTATCTTTTTCAACTCAAGAGGCCAATGTAGTGAATGAAAAAAAAAAATAAAAAATGGTCAAAGTGCAAAGCCAACACTTTAACTCAGCCAATTTGCGACGTGACGTTTCTCCACGATAGTGGTGAGCTCCCTGGTTACAGCAAGCCCTGGTGCACGTGGCACCCAAAACAACAGCGACTGCTAGAGCCAACTTTCCTCTACCTGTTGTTGTCGGAGCCGACAAAGAAATGGTTATTTCCTTGACATTGTAGAACGAGAAATAAGGTTAGGGTGCGTGGGTTGTAGAGAGAGGTTTCTTTTGTGCAAAGAGAGAGTAATAAAATTAAAAAGTAGATTAGTTTAAATTAATAATATTATAATTATAATTATAATTAAAAAGTTGAATTATCATCTGAATTTTAAATAAATAAGGATTAAACCTGGTTTTTTAAGTTGGAAGTTTAACATGTGTGGTTTAAAATTTTCACATTTTATAATCTGCTCGGCTTGGTTATTCATCGCCAAATTACCAAAAAATCATTCGACTTGGCCCTTGTTTAATTCCCACTATTTTTAAAATACAATTTTTTACTCTCTTCTTTTTAACCACACATTCTTTAATAAAATAATATTATACGTAAGATTCAAAACTTTTTTCCTTATTTTTTAATTACACATTCTCCATCAATCTACTATTTAAAAATGTATTCTTAGCCAGAATTGGGATCAAACGGGTGCTTAGTCTTCGTTTGGTCTCATTAACAACTTGTTTGGTACCATTTTGAAAGTCAATCAAAATCAATTTTTTAACCATTATTTTACTATTTTAGCCGTCATTTTTGAATTCTTCTCTCACAAGCAGGACCCACTTTATCTCTAACGATCAAAAAATCAATTATCAAAATCTCTACCAAACAAGCACTAAATTACATTTCATTTTTCTCTCTCTTACTTTCAACCACAAATTTTTCATAAAATAATATTACACATAAATCAAAAACCTTTGCTTATATATATATATATATTATTCTACCCATTTTGAAATGGAGGCCAAAAGGGGGTTAATATGGTTTAGGTGGTCATCAAATACTGTTGACAGACCTATTATAGATCCAATTTTCCGATCATACTGACCGATTTAAAAACATTGAATAGAAAAACTCTCCTTTTCAGCAAAACTAATTGATGTAGTAGAACTGGAAAAAATAAAGAAAAAGTAACATTCGGGAGGAATTTTCAATATTCTGGGTAACACTATATATACCTGTCCTATTTACAAGTAAAAGGTCCAAAAATAAATTGTCGAAAAACCGAATGAAATTTTTTCCTCAACTTAAAATTTAGGACTAATAATGATGATAACAAATAAAATCTGTACCGTATACAACATATACATATACCATAAGTGTTCAGTTCCCTGTATAGAGTCGGATGATGAACAAATTTTGCCCTCGTTTGAACCTCATTAAATTACATTCCATTACATTCTACTTTTTTCTCTCCTATTTTCAATAACACAATCTTCTATAAAATAATATTACACGTAAATCAAAAAATTATCTTTCTTTTTCGACCACTCATTTTTCAAAAAAAAACTATTCCACCCATTTTCATTTTAAAAAAATGGGGGCTGGTCTCAACTGATTCAACACACCAAGATCCAATGAAGGCCAAAATTACTGCATTTGAAAATTGTAGCATAGAAGGATAATAAAATAAAATGGTAAATTTGAACCAAATCTCATTCAAAGAAAATTGAAATTCTTGCAATACTACAATTTGTAGCTGCAACACGTCTACACAACAAGAAATCTGATCCTAACTGTGACTAAAGATACTATTACAGGGGGAAAAAACGCATGGAACATTCTATGGTTACATCAGAAAACCTTCCACAATTTGAAGTCTCTTGACTCGGGATTTATGGGATCCCCATCACCAGCCTGCCCGGCACCAAAAAGGAGAAAACTGTGTTCGACAAAATTGGCTCATGTTGAAATATTCTTTTCTTTATTTTGTTCACTAAAGGTACACGAGATCGACCTTTTATCATCAAAACTGAGTATCTCAGAACACGGTCAAAATCGTTGTTAGTCTTGAATGTAAATCCACCAATGTATGTTACCAACTCTTCTCGATGCTGGATCCAATTATCCACCCAGAACAAGCTTTCGTTTGGATCTCTGTCTCAAAAAAGTTGGGCATGAAGTGACCAAAATTGTTCTGACCAGAGCCCACTTTGAAGTTGACGTGGATTCAGGACCATTTCTGATGCTGGTCTCCTGTCATGAGGACAAAATACAAAGAACGAAAATTTTCAATGATCAATCCCACAAAAGAGTAGAAGAAGATTCTTAGTATGAGAATATCAAGTATCTAATAAGCCAGAGTGTGGATTATTTGACAAAACCATAACACTCTTCAAAATGTATATACCTTAACTCCAAAGGACAGATCTAGGAACTTAACACCAAAAAAAAACAAAATCAGATACAACAACAAATTAAGCTTATTTTCAAAGAATTTGGGGTTGAATATATCAATCCTTTCCTTCCGTTTGGTTCATTGCTAGATAAAGAGTAAAATTACTCAAAGAAATGAACATGAGAGAAATAGAGGCACTTGTAAATCTCCTCTAGGTACCATTTCCATTCCTACTCAACGGTAATTGACTTCTCTCACTACCCAGAGAGAGAATTTCTTGCAGTCTTTCGGGCCAATCTGAGTTCAATCTTCTAGCAAAGTCTGCAACTTCCCTGATCAATAAGATAAGTTACTATCCGTCACACAAAAGACTACAAGATATCGAAAAAGAAAGACAAAGATATTAAATTCCACCGACTATTTCTTTGGTATTCTCTGACTTATCTTTTCCCGGTTTCCAGAAAGAGTACGGGGAGGAGAATTTAACTAGTTAACTTCCATGGCGTCACTAACCAATGATGTAATGTAGCACAGTAAGTCAGATTAAGAGTGCAAGGATCCTTTTATGTACCAACCATTCCATGGCGTCACTAACCACATGATGTAACGTAGCACAATAAGTCAGAATAAGAGTCCAAGGATCCTTTTATGTACCAACCATTCCATGGCGTCACTAACCACATGATGTAACGTAGCACAATAAGTCAGAATAAGAGTCCAAGGATCCTTTTATGTACCAACCATCCAAAGTAGTACAACCAAATGATAAGAACATTGTAAAATTCCTTCTAAATCAACATTATAAAGAACATAAATCAGATGGAAACCACAAGCAGTAAAGCTTTTTATATATTCCTCAGGCATTACGCATATACTTAAACAAACAAGGGTTAGACTGTTAAAGGAAGCAATACAAGGCAAATATACATCTTGGCAAGGATATAACCATTTGGAGTTCAATGATGGTATATAAAATAGAGTTAAACAAATACCGCATATAGGTAAATATCAATCTGAAGTGAACACTGGATCTTATTTCCCCCCGATTAAAAAAAAAAGGGGAAAGCATTCTTTAAGCTTGCATATCAATTCCCAGAATCACTCGCAATCCACGTAGTATATAAAAAAGTAGCATCCAGAAACCCCAGAAGCTCCGTCAATGATATGCTAGAGAAACCCGATCCCAATGTGAGTGCAGAGGTAGACTTTGGTCCTTGAAAGTTCTGGATCCTCTCTATGACTATATAAAACACATTTAAGCCAAAAATGCACATCTATACAATCTCGTCATTCTAACATCTATGAAACTCCGAAAACTTCTTTCCATTCTAACATCCATGAAACTCTAAAAACTTCATTAAAAGCATTTGATCTGACTTTCACAAAACCAACTCAACTTTAACAATATTTCAGAAAGTTTAAAGTAAAACTTCCTAGATTTTCCTCATTCTCCTCCACCTCTAACTAATATAATATATGGAAGATAATTTATTCTAAATCCCAGGAAAGGACCAGACTGAGCACATATGATCCAGTAAAAAAACCTGAATTTATTTCAAACCCATTACAGTTTAAACTTATATTAAAAGGGACTTCTATGACTAGCAACTGAATAACCATATAAGCCAACTGATCAACAATAATAAACCATTAACTATATCCGGCGAAGCTAGCAGAATTCCCAATAATAAACCATTAACAAAAATTGCTGGTGTTCTGATTCTTAATGATTCCAACACCTGCACTTTGTAATAACTGAATAGGGCTCACCTATCAATTTCTTCTTTCAAAGCAGGGTCAATATCATCATCTAAATCACAATCATCAAACTCCTCTTCAGGTGTAAATCTGGCATTTCCAGTGTCCAGCAACTCTGTTGTGTTACCAAGATTAGGCAGAATATTGCCACGAACCATACGGTTGTTGCATACAGAATCCATCTTATTTGATTCCTGAAACATAACAGAATGTCAATTAGAACTGGATGGGCACATACTCGAGTATGCAGGGTGCATGTGTTTCTCTATGTCAGTTAAAAGGGGACTTAAGAAACGAGTAACTCCCTAAGCAATCAACTTGTAATCGGTCTAAACTCAGAAAAGTGAAAGTGACCCTGACCTTCTTACTTACATCTACAGAATTGCTCAAAAAGGTGCCATTTGAACAACTAGAGCAATTCAAAGGAGCAGTCTTCTGATGGTCTTTCCTCCTGCGGTTCTTCTTTTTATTTTTAGAAGTTGTAGTCCCCTTAGAATCTGCAAACACAAATCCATGTGTATTTAAGTCTCCACAAAAGTAAAATCAAAAGGAAAAAGATGTAAGAGCATAGAAGGGTGAAGAATGTAATTGGGCCTTGATTTTTAACAGCACTTCTCATCTCAAACATAAAGCATACACGAGCAAAGCAGATGCAAGATGTAGCAGTTTAAGTAGATGACCAGTACCATAAAATCCATAATAACAATTAAAACCTAAAAAATTGATTCTATCTACTAAATTTAGCACCTAAACATAAAAAAGTAAAAGAAAACAGAGAACTTATTATTGGACGTGAAACTCAGTCAAAAATAAATGAATTCTCAGCAGAAAAATAATTTATTAACAGAAATAATATGATAGTGAAATCCATCTTCACTCTGTATACATAATTTTACATATTGATTCTGCAAAGAAGTATTTAGTTTTTTGATATTGACGAGTTTTAATTGGTCAACTGGTTGAATTGTGCAGCTATTACACTTGAAAATTGCTTGTCCAAACTCTGTAGTCACAATTTTCTAATGGTGACATATAACTTTAATAACAACTCTGTCTGTCTTTCATTTCCCTGGTTAACTATAACATTTAAATCGAACACCTACATATTTTTTATTCCACTTTGTCTTTCCAAATTGAGCACAAGTATATTCTTTGAATCATAACTATTTCCAAATAACCGTACATTACTAATCCCACCAACCAAAAAGTCTATTCCATAGAAGAAAAGATCAGAAATTTCAACTTCACAAGTATAGTTACAAATACCAACATCCCTGGAGTAACTCAGTATTACAGTGACACCCCTATCCTTTAAAAATTAAAAAGAAAAAACCTTCACTGTCAATTGTTTGGCATAATTGATTCCCCTTTTAAAGGTAAAAAGTGTTAAATACCCATAAGAATAAAGGAAAAAAGTACCCATCCCTTAATGAATTTGTTGTTTCCTTATATTTGAAATTTTGCAAGGAATTGTTGGTATGTCATGATAATGTTATTTATTTTAGGATGACTATTCTAAATTTTGAAACATAAACAGTCTTCTAATACTCTCAAGTATTGTTTTGATTTTTGATTTCCAACATCACTAGCTGTATGTGATGGAGGTGGAACCAATTTACACCTAGGAAGCATAAAGTAAAAATATTTCTATATTAAAACATTAAAATTTTTATGTACCATCATTTACGACAACTTACATTCAGATCATAGGTATATGTCTAGCACTAACTGTTGTTTTCTTGTAGCACCAAAAAAAAAAATAATAAAGAAAAAAAAAAAAAAAAAAAAAAAACCAGAACTTACAAGCAGCTTATTAATCTGAATATAGATGCTCATCACATAAAAACCTTAAGAAACACTGGAGGTTAATAACGAAGTACATTAAGTAATAATGTATCACCTTTAGTCTCTCTCTTTCTTTTAACTCTTTCCTCTTTCGGGCATACAATCTATTTAATAACCGAATCCGAGGATCGTCCATTGTGTTTTTTATGGGCTCCAATTTTTCTTCCTGAATCAATAAAATGCGTCAAAGTAAGAAAATAAATGTAGAAACATGGATATACCCCCCAAAGAAATAAAAAGGACATTCAGCATGTACACTGCTAGCAAGGACAAGACACCTCTGTGAGATCATCAGGCAGGTGAAATATCTCTCGAATCTCTTCAGGAGTCTTGCCCTCAATCACCCGTGCAAGTGCACGACTGGTGAGATCTACCAATGGCTTCAGTTCAAGACTGTCAGCAGCAGAAGTCAGCTCACAAAGCCGTTTAGTATCCATTCGAGCAAACCTCTCATCAAAGGATTTCCTCTCCTGCATCAAAAAAGAACTAAATTTGTATCTTAATTTCATCTAAAGGACTTATTTCTGCAGTTTCACAAACAATAGTGACATACATTTTTAAATGTTGTTTGGATAATGTAGAACTCAAGACAAGGAAAATCAACTTTAAAAAAGGGTTAAGTTTCGGGAACATGTAAAGACCTTGTTAGAGTGCCCTGGTACTTGATGAAACCGGCAGTAGTCAAGAATCAAGCTCAACATAAGAGGATTGACCCGTGAAGGAAGGGAGATGGGATAACACTTCAAAGATCCTGTGCCTGATTGTATTTCATGACATATGAAGGGACAAAATATGGCAACCTCTTGTTCCACTTGTAGTATTGAACCATCAGAAGTTTGAAGCCACACATGAGCCCTTAGCATCTGATAATGCACAATATAAACACAGCAAATCAAAACAATAAGGATTCAAAAATAATAATAATAATAATAATAATAACAGTGCAACTCAAGAACCACGATAAGTGGGAAGCTTAACGAAATATTGAAGATAATGTAATGTTCTCAAGATCTTTTTCTTCTCTTTTGCTCTTCTATCCAAATATAAGTAACAAACCACACATTCTCCCAGTTCAGCACTCCTAAATTAATGTGGTGCATTCATCTTATGCCATAATTAACAGGAATAGGACCAGATGTTTGGATCTAATGTTTTTCAGTCTTTGCTTTCTCCCAGTGTAATGTTTGAGTTTGATGGTAATCCACTTTCGTAGTTGCTTTCTCACTTGCAAGGGTTCAAAGATCTCCTCCCCACACACACACACACACCCCCCACCCCAGCCCCCAAAAAAATAAATAAATAAATAAATAAAAAATCAATCTTTGATTCCCCAAATTGATAAGTGATACTCTATAAGATGGGGCCGGGGGGGCATGATCCTGACCCATAAAAAAAAAAACAAAAAACAAATATACAGAAACTCCATGTCGGCACAAAAATCTACCACACTTCACTGCTTTATGTTTAACATCTACAGCAGATAGCCTGTACAAACAAGGACTCCTGCAATCAATTGAAAGGGAGACAACCTTTTGCCCCTGTAGCATCCCTGTGTCCACACTTTTGTCTAAAACTGCTATCATGAGTTACGCACCTATGGAGCCTTTCTAAGCCCTAGTTCCGCTAGAGGTGTTGTTTGATAAAACTACTTAAAGCTTACACCTCAATTCAAATATCAGAATATGTCTGTGAGCTATAATTGCTGTTTTTGGGCTTCAACCTTGAGGCAACTAAGGTGGTCGCCCATGGTCTTGTGTATAGGTGTCAAAATAGGCAGGGTCCAGACACAAAACGACCCACCGGTGTAAAAACCAGATCAAAACTAGACCATCTGGTTCAGGCCAGTTCACAGGTTTCTCCACCATAATAAATAACTTGTCTAACTCGATGATCCATGAGGATATGTCTGGTTTATTAAAAAATAAAATTAAAAGAGTCGTTGGCTATAAACACGCTGTTTTTTCTACATCTTTCCAAAAAATCTCTCCTCCTCTCACACTCTTATCGCAGTTTTCATACTCCCTAACTTCTTACATTCTCCAGCTCTTCATACTAATAATATATTGTTTTTAAATTCGATTAAATTAAACTTTCAAGTGTACTTGCACTATAAAATTTTTATTATTTTTTGGTTAAGTAGGCGTCAACTTCATTAGAATGTATTTAACCTAATGATGCAGAAACTATTATTCGTAACTTCTACTTATAAATTATATTTTATAGTTCACAAACAAATAACAATGTAATCCACAAGTACATTAATGAGAATAAACTAAGAGAATAAAACACGATGGATTGGACCGGACTGGACCGGCCCGCGATATGTTGATTTGGAAGATGGTCTAGGCTATGCTAGGACCAGATTTTAGATTTGGATGAAGGCAGGTCATTATTGAATGGCCCACCCATTTTGTCGCCCCTAGTTGATATTTTGGACATTTTTATTAATTTCCTTAGTCTTTTGAACTAGTTATTTATAAACTGAAACGTTTTGGGGATTTTTCATATATCCTTTTAGATTTTGCTACTTGTACATAAAAATGATACATAAGTGGTTACCGAAAATGATGTGGATGAAAAAAATTGAATAATAAAGTTGGTTGTGTTTTAAATTGGCAGATGGTAGAGTGCCATATGAGCATTATATAATCCCTTATGTAAATCTTGATGTACATATAGCAATGTCATATTCTTTTTCATGCCTTGACATAGAAGGGAAAGGAGTATACACTATTGCAAGGAGAAAAGGATGAGAAAGAATGAGAAAACACTGATAATGATGAGGATCATAGGAGGATCAAATATATTGAAGATATTAGACATCTTATTTGTAGCAATGATATAAGAGATTTTTGAATTATTTCTACTTTTAATGGTAAATTACAATTTCATGAATTTTTTAAGATTTACTATAAGTTTATAAGCATGTTTTTGTATTGCTATATTCTTCTTAATTATTTTATTGGCTCAGTGAGGTACGTCTTGATACCCAATTAAGCCTTTTGAAGCATTTCAACCCCAATCTTCTTTATTAATATCCATTCTCTTCATTCCCAAAGGATTGTCGCTCTAATAAAAGATTATGAGAGTTGGAATCCAATAGAAAAGAATAGTTTATTGATCAGAACCCCTACTTTTACAAAATAGATTAATGCTAGAACGGCGTGTACATGCACGCTCTGCTTCCTTTGTATTTTAATTTAATAATCTTGAGACCTAAGAGCCTGTTTAAGCCTCATTTGATTGTAAGAATGTATTTTGAAATAATAGATTGATGGTGTATGGTTAAAAAATAAGAAAATATTTTGGGTTTGTGTGTAATTTATTTTATTGAAGAATGTGTGGTTGAAAAGAAAAGAGAGAAAAATGTATTTTGAAAATAATGGGAATCAAACGAGGACTAAATCTTTGAAGTAATTCTTAAATATAATGGTGGCAAGTCAGATGGCATTTAGCAGCAGGACACAGATTAATGTAAACAAATGAACAAAACTAGCAACCATCATAGTCTAACTTGAGTCAGATAAATTCGAGATTGCATCATCTTCTCATTTAAATACCCCGCCCCGTGGTTATGCATCTTCTACAATCAGAGTTGTCCAAGTAAAAAATCTGGTCAGACTCCTTAAACTGGTACAATATAAGATAGAATGTCATCCACAATTATGCACAGACTTATTTTACTTCCTAAATCAATGAACTTTATGCCCAATGCCTTTTCTCTTGGTCTTTTTCTCTTCAAAGTTTATTGCCTAAAAGAAACAATCAACGCCTGAAGAGCGTCATTGTCCCATTAAGTCTTCATTCTTCATGAAACCGTATTTAAAGAATTAATCAGTATGTCGATATGAGTGATACTAAAACAAAGGTAAGGAGTTTCAATATCAAAATAGAAAAAAGAGCTGTCACATTAATCAAATGAGCATAAAGCGTGTCTACAGAGACGCATTACAAACAATTAAAATAGAAGAATTCAGAAGCATTAAACAATCAAAAAGTTCGCATGTAAGACATACCTCAGGCTTTATTATTTCACGGTCAGCTTCTGTCATTATTTTGAAAATTAGAAAAACAAATGCCCAGAAAATCACTTTCAATAAAATGCTCCTGTTGTAAGAATGAAGAGCATTAGAATATAGTCGACTAACCTCACCATCTTACAAGCCAATATTGTTTGGAATGCTGGTTTTCATGTTCGAAACATAATTACAGAGTACACAACTAGATACATGCATAACCAATCATAATTAGAGAGCGCATCAGTGGTATTACTATCCATGCATCTAGAACTAACTTGAAAATTTCTGAAGCAAAAAGAAACAAAAATCCATTCTTTTGTGAGATGTCAAGTTCTTATAAAAGATATTAGGAGGTATTAGGTGGGGCATTTAACAGTGAGGAAGATGAAAATCTCACAAAAAGATGGCTTCAACATAGGTTTGAAGAAATCTAATCATTGTTCTCCCTGTCTGAATTTGAGAATAGAGTTCTTGAAGAAAGCTTTTCCTTGTATATTTTCCACTTTTATGCTCTCTCTCACTCCCACAACCACGACCACAACTATAACCACATCCATATCCAATTCCATCCCCACCAACCAGAAACCAAACTTTTATTGCCAATAAAATAGGTCATACCTGATCAATTACCAGCATCCCCACATCACCAACACAAACATAATCACCACTAGCCTGCTCTCTCTCAACTCCACATCCATTTCAAACCCCAGCACCACCAAACAGCATCCAAATGTTTACTGCCAATAAAAATAGGTCATACCTGAAAAATTACCAGCATGCCCACTCCACAGACACAAACATCATCACCATTGTATGCGGGAATGATTTGAAAGCTCAAAAACCAAGAATAGTGGTATTTAATAAGTGAGAACATATGAAGGCAGGGAAATATTCCATCACTACCACCTCCTGACTATCAGTCAGTCCCAACAAAAAAAATCCAGCAAAGATCATCTACCTGTGCCAGCACCACCATGGTATGACCAATAGGTCCATGAAACTAATCATAGATAATCACCTGGCCATCACCACTGACACTGTTATGAAAGCACATCTTCCTCCCCCAGCAGTCACCTTTACTGCCAGTGTGCCACAATTCCTCATATATCCCATTGCTCTGGACTAACCCTCTCTCCCTACCTTTAAAGGCTGCAAATCTCCAAATCTAATTGCAGATAAGGTAGCCTGGGTTCTTGAGTTGATTAATCTAAGAACTAGAACAATAAGAAATAAATGTGGAACTGCTTGGGAAAAAGGGATAATACTATGTTCGTTTCCAGACCATGACATTGTAGTAAAACAGTGGAAACACAGACATTCAAATTCAGTAAGATGAAGTTAAATATTCTTAAACGATACAAATGACCCCTAAACTGCAAAAACGCATATCCTTTAGTGGTAAAACTACACATTTTGACCCTTTTTTACCTCGAGAAAGGATCTTGGATATCATAAATATGACTCAGAAATAATAAGTTTTGACATTCATAAAATGCCACCAAAAAATTAAATAAATAAATAATAATAAAAAAATCCAGTAGTAAGCCAAATAAAAACTATAAGTAGATTACACTTAATTCCAGTACTTTGTTGGCACTTGAAAAGATCCATGTAAATGACACTCAAAGTTCTACGAGTGCTCATTAAATCAACTAGCTTTGGAGATTGGAAATCATTTGGTGTAAAAAGTTTTTTTTTTTTTTTTTCCCTCTCTTTTTATAGCTTTCTCTTGTTATGCTCTTTTGTTTCCTAACAACAACTCTTAGAATCAAGCAAAAATTGCAAATGCTAATTCAAACAAGCCCTAATTCCCCCGTCAGACATCCCAACTCATATCGCCCCCAATCCAACAGCTATTAACTAACAGGCCGTAAAGGGTATAACATAACAAGAACAGGTCAGAGATTCAAGATTACATAACTTATTGCCTCGAATCAGATTGTATTACCAATAAACACCTTCCGCCATTAGTTAAAATGCAAATCTGGCTCCTTCATGCAATCAATTAAAAAAGGGGGGAAAATAATGGCAATAGAACTGTCCGTGCATAGAAAGATACAGGTTCAAGTACCTGATGAGGAAGGCCTTTAAATCATAGAAATGGCGGTTGTCAGCACAAATAGAAATGGGATAAATGAGAGAGAGACGAGAGAAGACAGAGAGATGGGAGACGAGGGGATATCAGTATATGAAAGGAAATATTACAGAAAGGTCCTCAAACTATTAATATGTAATGAGTAGGCTCCAGTTTTCATTTTCGTAACACTTGGATCCTCTATGGACCAATTATTTTTACCCAATTCTTTGAAGGTAAATATATTGGCACCACAATTTTTTGTTGCACAAATTTTCAATTGTATTAGCCTTTCTCAACATTTGCTTATTATTGTACTTATATTCTCAATTTATTTATTTATTTTGTATAATCATAATCAACCTTTTATTAGTTAGCACATCTGATTTTTGATTTTTGATTTTTTTTGGTCCAAATGCACTATATTTTCATGCTTTAAAAGGCAAATATTTTATCGCAATTCTATATTTAATAGTATTTTATCATAATTGAAAGGCAAGTATTCTATCGTTAGCTAACAGACGGACGAGAAGCTCAATTTTCAGTGTTTTCTATCTTTCAACTTTTAAGTTTTGAGTATCTACAATTATTTTAAGAATCAGTGATTTGTTTATGTTTGTGGATGCAATTTTTAAAATACATGAGTTTGATCTTGGTTTCATAGTGTTTGCTGGTAATGTAAAGGTTAACTAGTTTCACAGTTTAATTGAAGAGTTCTTATTTTATTTAGTGTATATTCTAGCCTTTCTGTTTGAGAGTGCTTTCAGTAAGTATTAGTTAGGTCATTAGCTCAGTTTCTGTTCAATATGCTGATCATATTGAAGTCTCTGTAGTTCCCTGCCTGAGAAAAATGTGTTGGATATTGGTTAAATAAATTGAGAATTGAAAATCGATTAAAGTTCGTATCGAATTCGGCCAAATACTCAAAAGCTCGACTCAATCCGTTTAGGCAAAATTGTTTGCCACTTCACCGCTTCGGGGCGCACAAACGGGGATCGACCTGCCCGGTCAGGTCGCGAGGGTCGAGGGGGCAGCGCCCATTGTGGGGGGTCGGGGGCAACGCCCCCGAAAGAGAATTTTGATTTCTCTGCATGTATTGAAGGGTATATTTGGCATTTCGAAAACCAATATCGGATGAATGAGAAATTACGAAAAAGACCTCAACCATTAGTGAATAGACACCTTTTCATAAAGGTGCATTGTTTGGAAAGGGTGCATGGTTTGGCCTCAACCATTTCGTCCACACCCCTTCATGGTCTATAAATAGGACTCTTTGGGTGTCCTATTCCTCCCAGTTTGATATGCAAAAACGTCTCTCATCCTCTCTTCTATCCAAAATCAAAATCATTTCATTTATTTTGATTATCTTTCATTTCATCTGTGGAGTACATAAGCCTACATTTGGTTCGTTGTACTTGTGTTTTGGAGTGCTACAAACACAAGTGTAGCCGTTGTATCTTGGGAGTCGATTGCCGAAATCCGTAAGCACCATTGCGGGGCAAATTCGACTTAAGGACAAAGAGTCCAACTCTTGCCTCGGCTTTGTCACCATCATTATACTTATTTCGGCGTCACTATTCACAAAATTCTTCCAACAAAATGCTCTTCACTGATCTTTATAATCACATTTTTGATTGAATTTCACTGTTTTACTTCATGAAGTTGATAGAGATAATATCTGTACATTGTCATGCCAAATCAACGCTGTATCCTTGATACTTTTTCTTCATTGCAGCAAAAGAAATGAAAAGGATGAAGGCACGTGATAGTTTATTGAAATCTATCCTGTGAAGAACCCAATTCAATCAACCTGATTCTAGTGTTTTCTTTTTGAAAAATAAATAGATAAATAAAATTGTGTTAGGGATATCAAGTCAAGAAATCAAAATACAATTGCAATATAGAAATTTGTTTCCTCTATAGATTTACAACCAATGGATCGAACATCGACATCAAAGATCTCGATGACCTAGAGCTCAAAACATTATACCCTTTTGTACAAGTGTAAAACCTCGAACCCTAACCCTCAATGTATGAATTGCAGCTACTTCAATGGACCAAAATGACGTCACACAGATATCAACACTTTCCTTCACACTAAGAATCACCTAGACTTGATAATTTCATCAGATTTCCGCCAAACCAAAAGTTCAAGAGAGAAGAACAAAGAACATGAAGGATACCCAAAAGACACAGAGAGAATCTAGAGAGTTTTACACAAGACTCGAATGCATAAAGCGTCTAGGACAACCACCCAGTACCCTTTTATACGCCTTAATAGCAACTGTTGATATCAATGACTGGTCAATGGTCTAGAGCAACACACGTATCACCATATATTGGGCTCGGGTAGTTGGGCTACTTCACTTGCATTATCGAGCAATGGTAAATAGTATTTTATGGGATTGGCCCGTTTTCATCATTGCCCTATTATTATATTGGACTGGACTTTGACATCACAGTCCAAACAGTCTCCACCTTGATGTCAATGATTAATTACATCTGAGCAGGACTAGATTATCCATTTGCATTCCTATGGTCATCAACATCAAGAATCTAACAAGTCATCTGCAATATCACAAATGTAACCCAGTATCAATGTTTAGCATTTGTAAGTATGATTTAAACTTGTTCAAAGGAATTACCTGAGCTTCCACGTCAACAAGATTAAATTGTGTTGAAATATTTTCTAGTATTATGGATTCCTTTTGAATTATATCTCTAATAAAGTGCAGCCTAACATCTATATGTTTTGTTATTTCATGAAAAACAGTATTTTTACATAAATGTGTTGCACTTTGACTATTAGAATAAATAACTACTGGACAAGAGACTTCATTTAATTCATATAACAAACCTTTGAGCCATAAAGACTCTTTTATGGCCTCGGTAACAACCACATATTCAGCTTCTATGGTGAATACGCCAACAATAAGTTGTAAATGGGACTTCCAACTTATGCAACTATCACATAAGGTAAACATATAAGAAATGGTTGATTTCCTATTGTCATTATCCCCAATATAATCAGAACCCACAAAACCTTTTAGAATAACACCATCTTTACAAAATTTAAAATATAATCCCAAATCATAAGAACCCTTTAAGTACCTTAGTAACCACTTTAATGCAGTCCAATGTTCAAGGCCAGAATTGGCCATAAATATGCTTTATGTACTAATTGCATGTACAACATCAGGTCTGGCGCATACAAATTAGCATAAGGCACTTTTTGCATGTATTTAATATCATATTCATTGACAGGACACTGATCTTTGTTGAGTTTAAGGTGAATGGTAATAGGCAAGGTGATAGATTTTGATTCATGCATAGAAAATTTAAATAACCACCTTTTTTATGTAAGAAGATTGAGATAGAAATAAACTCTGTTTTGACTTGTTTCTTTTGATATGCATTCCCAAAATCCTCTTTGCATGACCTAAGTCTTTTATTTCAAATTCAGAACTTAAGAATCTTTTAATGTCATAAATGTCACTTATATTCTTGCCAATTAACAATATGTCATCAACATAATTGAGCAAGTAAACAATCACAGATCCAATTTTACTCCTTCTAAAGTAAAGACGAGATTTAGTTTTACTCCTAAAGCAAAGAAAATGATCAAAAGAACTTCTTTTGAAATTAAGAGATGACACAAAGTTATCAAATCCTTTTGTACCATTGTCTAGATGATTGTTCAAGTCCATACAAAGAACTTTTTAATAAACAAACATGTTTAGGTTTATTAACATCAATAAAACCTTGTGGTTTATTCATATAGATGGTTTCTTCCAAGTCACCATGCAAGAAGGTAGTTTTTACATCCATTTGTTCAAGTTCAAGATTATATTGAGAAATTAGAGCTAGCAGGACTCTTATGGTAGTATATTTAACAATGGGTTTCACTGTAATCAATACCAAGCTTTTGAGTAAACCATTTTGCTACCAAAGTTTAGGTATTGTTCTTTAACAGGAAATTCATTTCTTCATTCATAGGAAGTTGCCAGTTTGCTAATAATTGATAGTTGACAGCCTATTGATAAGATTTAAGTTCCTTAAATGCAAAATTCTGGTAAGACAAAACTGCAAAGGACATATAATCTCTCATCCTAGTAGGCTCTCTTATTTCTCTCCTAACTCTAATTGGTTATTATATTCACATTCTTCTAGGATATTCCATTCATCATCTTCATGAAAGTCAGAGACATTCTTAGTTTCTACTTCAGCCTGCTTAAGACCCGTGGGGTCAGGTGGAGTCCAAGGCTCTACCTGTAGCCTAGACACATCTTCTTTGTCACTCACAAGAACATCATCTTGATGTTTTTTACTTATACATGGCATATCGTTTTCATTAAAGGTCACATTTCCACTAGTGATCATTTTAAAACATTTAAAGCTTCTAGTCCATAGTCTGTATCATTTCACACCTTTAGGATATCCCATAAAAACACATTTTTGGGATCTTGGTTCTAGCTTGCCAATATTCTAATGAGAGTAGGCAGATCAACCAAAAGTTCTAAGGTGGGTATAGTGCAGTAATTTTTCAGTCCAGACCTTCTCAGGAGACTTGCCATCAAGGGAGGTGGTAGGTGTCCTATTAATTACATATACTGCAATCATAATAGCTTCTCCCATAACACTTTAGGAACCCCGGAGTTAATCATCATACATCTAACCTTGTGAAGAATGGTCTTATTCATCCTCTCAACAACTCCATTCTGAGGGGAATAGGGCACGATTTTATGCCTAAAAATCCCATCAATTTAGCACAGGTGATTAAATTCAGTATTGCAAAATTTCAAACCATTATCAGTTCTCAAGATTTTTATCTTTTTAATAGTTTGATTTTCAATTAAAATTTTCCAATCTCTATATTTTTCAAAAGTGTCAGATTTTTGTTTTAAAAGAATTGTCCAAACTTTCTTTGAAAAGTCATCAATCAAGAATAAAAAATATTTATTTTCACCTTGAATGATAGTGGATGAGAGACCCCACAAATCAGAGTGTATATATTCCAACATAAATATAGCTACTTATTTTCCTGTATCAAAGTGGAGTTTATGCTGTTTTCCTAAAATGCAGTGCTCACAGAAAG